TATTTGTAACGGCACTATCCTCTCCTCATGGCTTTCCCTCCTTTTCTATCTAAAAAAGTATTCTGAAAAGGATAAGAGGTCACGCTGTCCAAGCAACAGCTACGTGCACTCCGCCCATCTTTCAGACGACTGTACGAACATATTCTCGCTGTATCTCAGTACAATGATAATAAAGCTTATTCTGATTCTGGTAACATGAAATAAGAAAAGTAAGCCTCAAAACTTTAACCCATTTAAATTCTAAATAATTTATGTTCTGTTTTGACAATTCAATGTTTTTATGTTAAAATTTTTAAAAAATTCAGATCAGCAGCTGTTAAATAGCTAAATTATTGCACTGAATGCTGAATGAACACATTGATTGCACAATTTAATTTCCAAAACAAATAGCACGAGTCATTACTGGAACAGGCTTTCAAGGAATTCATTACTACACTTTCAAAACATCACAGCACAAATAGAGAAGGGCTTTAAAGACTACAAATATAACAGTGAGGGAGGAAAATCAGCTGTTTATCTAGGTTATTGATTAAGAAAAACACAAAGGGATGTCAGAACGTGATGTCAGAACTCTCCTGGATTCCCATCAGGGCAGATATAAACAGTTGGAGAAGTTAACGCTGCATATTGGCACGTTTCCAAAATCTTTTAGTTTCAACATTTAATACAGATCACAGATCTTTGGAGCGAGCAGGTTTTAACAAATTAGAAATACGGTAAATGTTTACACCACCAAAGCTTCCAATAATTGTTGCCAACTGTAATTAATAAAAAAAATAAAAACTGTCTGCTGCCTGTTTGGTTTAAATAGTTCAAGTTATAATGATAAAAAACAGGACTCAGGCACAAATTCTGCACGTGTTTATGTGATTATTGACATGGGTTTATTGTATTTACATTAAAAACTGAGACTATGTTGCATTTGTAATCAATTGTGAACTGAGATAGTGATTTGGTTGAGAAAAGTTTTAAAGTTTTAAGTTTGAGAATCAGCTGCAAACAGGGCAGGAAAACAAAAAGGTTGAAGCCATTAAACAAATTTTAAGCAAATAACAATCTAACTGAATCTAACTGTTTGAAGCTTTTGTTCTGCTAAAACTTCACACATTTGCTTGCTATAAGAGTAATGGGAGGAAGAAATAGAAATAGAAAGTCATCACAGCACAGGAAAGTAATAACTTTCCTGAAAAATGTCTTGTTATGGTTTCCAAAGCCTGCTGTAAACTTGCCACAAATCTACAAAATGCATCTTGCAGAAATATTTGAGCTCAGTGGAAAATGTATTCCAGCAGACTAGTCATTAATGGCTATCACAGACGGACAATGAAGACACCAAGTATGGCTTTGACTCTATGAAAGAATGGTTGCATGATTCTGACTTTTTATAATGAGAGGCATAACATTGTCACTAAGCAGCTGCTATTAAATCCATATAAATTTTTATTTGTGCACTTGCTGGCTGGTGAGTATCCTGACGACATTTTGTGGTTTGTTTAGACTTTATAGGTAGAAAGCCCTTTAAATAAAAATTGCTGACAGAAAAGTCAGATATTTATTCTGAAGTCAGTTTTTCAATATCTATGTTATTATTTCCAGAAAGGCTAACAGCATAGGTTACTCTACCAACAGCACCACACAAAATGAATATAATTTTTAAAAATGTGTGCCAAAGAAGTAATGAAAATAAAGCGATGGAATTTAAAATCAGCTCAACTACAGCTAAAAGTCAATTTAATTTATTTTATGTATACATGTTAGTCATGTTGAGATACAGATGCCTCATTTGCAAGAGAGACTTGTTATGGAAGCCGAGATGGGGTAGAGGTAGGGCAGCCAATCGGGACCTGAAAGTCCCCGGCTCGATCCACACCAGTCCCATATGTCATGTCTCTGAGCAAGACACCTAATCCCTAATTGCTCCCTGGGCGCTTACATAGCTGCCCACTGCTCCACCTGGGTGTATCCCAGGTGCAATGGGTTAAATGCAGAGAACTACTTCCGCCATTGTATGGGAACATACAATGATGACAACACACAGCACTTACATGTTATACAAAATTAAAACAATATAGTCAGTAAAACCAATACAACCATTAAAATATATTACCAGTAGTAAAAAAAAAAAAAAACATGCATCAATACAAGCATGTCAATGAAAGAAAAGGATTTTCAGCAGTGATTTACAATAAGTAACAACTTGTTTGTATTTATCTTTTCCCAGATTGGTGTGACTGTTGCAAATAATTCATTAATATGACCATTTCTTTGCATGTTAAATTACATGACATAAACAACTGTCTTAAATTTTTAAGCCACAAATATATTAAAAGCTGAGTTTAATATCGGTTTATTTTAGATTTACTTAGATTATATACAAAAGCACAAAAAATGCCTGTCTGGGTTTTATGTCCCTGAGATGGACTTGTGACATGTCCAGGGTGTCCCCCACCTCTTGCACAGTGACTGTTGGATATGGGCACCAGTGACGCCCGTGACGTGAAAAGGATGAAGTGGGTGAAGATAACGGATGGATGGATGGATGGATGGATGGATGGATGGATGGATGGATGGACGGACGGACGGACGGACGGACAGACGGATGGATGGATGGGTTTTATATCAATAGCAAATGGCAATTAACGTATATCCACAGCAGAAAAATGTACAAAATGTTGTTGTTGCATACAAGATAATTAAGATTTTCATTCATTCATTCATTCAACCTTTGTTTAAACAGGTTAGTCCCTTTGAGCAACGAGGACTCATTTACAAGAGAGACCTGAATTTTAACAAAGAGTGATGACAAAATGATTATGAAACAAGAAAGAAATGAGAGTTGCTAAAGATTTATTGGAAGAAGGCCTGTGATCTTACCTGAGTTCAATAGTAAATGTCCTGTCCACCTGTATCGTCCACTCACACCTGGCGTTGTTGGGGTAGCTCTCGAGAACCAAGTGGCCCTGTCGTTTATGGATCACTCCCCCACACTCTAAAAACAACAGCGAGAATGTGTTAAGTAAAGCTGTAACTGAGTGGCAATTTCAACTGTGGTTTCATTTTTATTCTGAGAAACCACATTCAGACCCTTTGTTTCCCCAACAAACCAAAAGCAAATGTATACACATTTTCAAAGAGTATTGGAGCAATAAACACAGGGTCCACAGAGACATACATTCAGCAACTACCCCAAGCTTCTGCTTTTAATTAAACATATACAGTATAGTGTATGTTGTGCCCCCTGGTAGAAAATTTGCATCTAATAGTTAAAGTCTGTGGTACACATTAGGTTGCTTTATGGGTTTCCTAATTGTTGACTCTGACTTGTCATTCAGCAGTTGTGAAAAACCTCCTGGGCCTGTGGCAGGCTTCCAATATGGCATAGTAGTCCAAGCTGAAGATAAACCAGCAGGAAAAGAAAAGCCCTATAGTACACTCACATTCATTTTACACGGAGTTTTGTCTCTTGCTAACGGGAAAGATGAAAAAACTTACTCCTGCAGTCTCCACCAGACCAGCCGGGACGACACTCAGCACAGTATTTGCCATTAATAAAGAAGTCATCCTGGGGTGCCCATGTTCCATTGTTACAACGCTTACAGTTCTCAAAAATACTGCAACCTGAAAGAAAGAGAGTGAATCAGAAGCAAAGCCACTGAAATGAGGGTGTTTTCTGTGTTATTTACATTAAATCTCCAAAGTATGTCACACTGAAATGTAAAAAATGGGAACATTTTATCATAAGAAGCAAAGTTGCTGCTCTTCAAGAAGCCCATAAACTTGTATTTTGCATCAGCTCTGCTAAACTCATTAAGCTCAACTGTCACTACAACAGAACATAAAAACATACTGCTGCTTCCTGAAATAGAAAAGTATTGAAATGGTTTCCTTTAAATATGGATTTTCACTTAAGAGGCAGCCCTGTACATGGAAGGTGAACAGCACCATGCAAACTAAGCACAGGCATACATTCTAACCAGTGCAGGGCCTGCCAGTGTACCTATGGAAATTCATTGTTATACAATGTGGTTGGAAAACATTTTTTTAGTGTTGAACAAAAATGGAACATACATGTGTCTTTTTAATTCTGAACAGCTGTGTTTGTCTCATAAACAAAAACATGGACATAATCAAGCTGTGAAGAAAGCATGACATAATTCTGCAGGGGCATAGTAAGTAGAAAGCAGGAGTAAAAATGTGCAAGCAGTCATTTATGTACTTGCAAGCTTGAGATGGATGCATTCTCAGAATCTGGACATGGTGTGGTCAGTATGTGCAATCACAATAAATACTGTACTGTAGTCCTTCACTACCTGGCGGTTTGACTTTCGCAGACTCGCTCTATCCCAGTTTTTCAAAGCAAGATAGAACATGAGAAATACATTGTACAGAACACATGATTGTCAACTTTAATATTACTCGTGATTGGGACAGTACGGAATACTGTACAGTAAAAAGTGAATGGGAAAAAAAAAAAACTTCGGACAGACACTGCCATTTTGTAGTTTTCTCTCAATTGGGCTACACTGTATCGCCACTCAAAACGACTACATTTCCCAGAAGCCAACAATGCCTCACCCAGAAGCCCTGTTTCCTTCTGCTGAAATACTAGAGGGAAAGATTTTGATCTGATCAGAAAAAATTTGGCACTTATTACAGTGACTTCGGCGCCCAGTGGATGCAGAGAAGCTGCACAGAACCCACCGAACCAGACCAGAACGGGAGCAGGACCAGACTTCCTGACCCATCTGTGAATCTTAAAAGCTGGTAACAAGTCCACGAGGATTTTCGAGTGGGACGCACGCTGACCAAGGTCCGGCACTTGGACCAGAGCTCACCGGGATTTTTTTCATCTTTCGCCCCACGCCGACCAACCGAAGGTCTGACCCCACCCCCACCAAAATGTACTTCGATGCGCAAGGGCTGCACAGAACCAGAGCAGAACCAGACCTCCAGACCCATCAGTGAATCTTGAGAGCTGGTAGCTTGCCCACGAGGATTTCCGAATGGGATGCATACTGCCGAAGCTCCGGCGCTCAATCCAGAGCCCACCAAGACTTTGTCATCTTTTTCAACAGGCCCACGAGGACCTCTGAGCGGAGACTCACTGCTAAGTAAAATGTAGTAGCTACATATAAGTATGTTGTTAAAAATAGAAGGTTTAAGAGTTTGGAACATTGATTGTGAGCTTTGTTGCTGCAGGGTAGGTCTTCAGAAAAGGAACCAAGTCGGACCGGAACCGAGAGCTGCTGCTGTTCTGCAAAGCCTGGTAAGATAAATTTAGTAGCTAAGTACAAAGTAGTACAGTACTGTACGTATGCTGTTAAAATGACGTAGGATTAAGAGTTTAGAACACTGCAAGAGTGTGGGAAGGGTTTCCAAAGCCTTACAATATATATATAAATACTAAAATAAATAAAATGTTGCTACTTTGCAGATTTTCACTTATTGTGGGGGGGTCTGGAACCATACTCATGCAATAAACGAGTGACTACTGTAGTTTCAGGAGTGATTATTCACCTAAAAAAAAAAAATAAATCTGTATGGAAGATGTTCAAAATAGATAGGCTCAGCTCTTGTAAGGAACTATCAACTTCATGCTTTACAAAGTTTATAAAATCAAAGGGTTGATTTAGCTTGTTACTAAATAAAATAATGTGGTACCTGGATGGATGATGCAGGGGTCACACTCATTGATGGCATTGCGGCAGCAGGGCACAGCGTAACCCACCGTGGTCCGCTGTAGTGGACATTTACAGCGGATCAAGTCATACTCGCAGCAGCCTCGGCACATAACGCTCCACTCCGGGCCTGGACAGTGGGTATACAGGTGCCTGTAATCTAGACAAAAAGATACATCTGGGTCAACAACATGGCAATGGTCAGCAACAGAAGAGCAGTTTAAGGATTTTGTTGATTTTAATGATTATCTGAGCTTTTCGAAGAGCAGCAAACATTTGTGTTTCAGCATTAGAAAACATGCTAGTTATGTTCAACTTAACTGTCATGGAAAACAGATTTGTCGTTAATCCAAAAGTACTGTATGAGCCCAAGTGTAAAGACTGACTTCATTGTGAAATTTTATTCAAATAAATCTGATCTTTAATTGGATTTGAAGCCAGTGATTCAGAGACCTTTGAGGCTGAGTGGTTATATTATGTAACAAAGAATTTAAAGGCTAAAACAGACAAGTGGAAATGCTCATGTGGCAGATGGAGATGGAGAACTAACAGAGGCAGCACTTCAAACTTGGCAAAATGTCCTTGCAACGTTTTGTACATCCTCCTAGCCCTGCAAGTATAATTACTTCTTTGCTCTCAGCCATGAGCTCTTATTTATAAAGCCACTACTGCACACTAGTTCAGCTTTTCCTTTATGTGGGTTTTGTGGACCAAAGTTTCTGCCACAGAGACACGAGCAACAACACTGACACACAGCTGATAAAGCTCTCGAAGGATGATGGTCAGCTAGAGAAAACCGGAGCTGTCCTGGAATGCTGTGAATCCGCCCTACTGCTCTTCCACATAAATGATACCATAAATTGAGTCTCGGTCCTGCAGAAGTCTGGCTTTCTTCTCAGCTATCTTTATAGCTATGGAATTGACATTAATCAGTCGGGGGGGTGGGGGGTGGGGGTTTGCACTGTCATTGGCTTGATCTCAGTGCAGGTTTTCTTAGGACAGCTGCGCGTCAAGGTTCAAGATTCTTTATTGTCATTCACATCACATGTGGTACATGAGGTGGAAGAAAATTGTGTACTCAAGGTCCCAATTAAACCCCAAAATTGTAAAAATAAAAAGTATTAAAAGAAACTGTATACAGTACAAGGATCTAAGCTATATGCTAAACAATAATGATGTAAAATAATACAGCATATTAAACAGCAGTCTGAACATGAGTCTGTTGTGAGCAGATGGGTATAAATATAGCAGCTTAAAGACAAGAGATCAGCAGCATAGATAATCAGCAGGACAGATAAAGTAGCATATCACCAATTAAAGAGGCATTACTGTGATTTTCCTGGTTAGGGATTTATGAGTCTAACAGCTTCAGGGTAGAAGCTGTTCCTCAGTTAAGTGGTTCTACACATAATGCTCCTCAACCACCTGCCTGAAGGGAGCGGGGCAAAAAGTGAGTGTGCTGGGTGAGTGGAGTCCTTCATGATGCAGGTGGCCCTCTTCCTGCATCTGGAGGTGTAGATGTCTGTGATGGTGGGGAGGCTGACTCCAACAGTCTTCTGTGCAGCCTTCACCACTCTCAGCAGAGCTTTTCTCTTTCCAGCTGTGCAGCCTCCATGCCACATGTTGATGCTGGAGCACAAGATGCTCTCCACAGCACACCTGTAGAAGGAGGTGAGGACTGAGGACCCCAGTCCAGCTCGCCTCAGCCACCTGAGGAAGATTCGCTGATGTGCTTTCTTGCTGGTAGTGTTGTTGCCCCCAGCTGAGGTGGTCATTCAGGTGCAAACCCAAGTATATCTGGAGCCCACTTCCACCGCAGATCCTCCTATGTTGGGGGCGAGGGTGGGTGGGGTGGGGTTGCTCATCATGAAATCTACAACTATCTCCTTTGTCTTCTTTACACTGATGGGAAGTTTGTTCTTCCTGTACCAGCTCTCCAGTTGTTCCACCTCCTGCCTGTAGCTGAACTCGTTGTTTGTGATGCGTCCAACCACTGCTGTATCATCTGCAAACTTAACAACATGACAGCCTGGATGGGTAGGTGTGCAGTCATATGTGAGCAGGGTGAACAGGAGGGGGCTCAACACACAGCCCTGAGGGGCTGCTCTTCACAGAGTAGTTGCAGACCTGCAGCGACCTGCATGGTCTTTCTACGGTTTTGCATTGTTCCTATAAGACTTTTCAGACTACTGGGTTTAAATACACAAGTCCTTACTACAATTCTCATTCCGTCACACTGACCGCCAATAAAAGTCTCTTGTGGTCTGAATTTATGTAAACTTACAGCTCATAAACTTTATTTTCAAAACAAAGTTGATCTTGCATGTTTTTTCTTTTTTGTGTGTGTGTAATATCCTCAACAAATAACGAGAAGCATACAGTTTGTGTTCATAAATTAATTTGTGTGGATTTCTTTTGACCAAATGTGAAAACCACAAACATCTGGGCATGGCCTGCATGTTCAGAGGGAAGAGCACTCAGACAGGAAGATATAGTGCAAAAAGATGGATTATGAGAGCACACCCAACTCATCACATACAAACACACAGTACATGCAAGGACAAAGATCTAAACTCATTTTACTTCATCATGTTGGATAAATGTCTCCTCATATTTGATCCTGTTGCCTACGATATTCCACCTGTCTGCCACAACATGTCTCTCCAAAATCCTCATCAAATGGCTTTTTTCTTCAACATACTTGAGACAAATTAGCTCCACAAAATGATTCAAAAAGGCACTCTTAATTCAAAAGATGACAGAAATGAATGAATGGCACACTGATTTTTATAGAAATACAGCTTTGTGAATGCATAAGCATAATTTGTAAACAAGCATGATTAATGGTATAAAAGACTATTATCCAAGACAAATTGTTGTTCTTTCTTATGCTTTAACATGTGAAGTGCCTAAATCTAATCAAAGCTGCTGAATAAACTGAAAACTGCAAGAGGAAAAAAAGCAGAAAGAATGCTTGTGGAGAATAATTTATGCTGCATGGATTTACAATAGTCTGGTCAGAAAATTTGGTTTATTTTCGTGGTATCGAATGGTATCAGCTATTTAATTTGTCTTCAGATATTTGATTTGTCAGGACAAGCATCCTAATATAAAAGTCAAGTCAAGTCACATTTATTTAGATAGCACATTTAAAACAGTAACTGTTATCAAAGTGCTTATCAAAAAAGATCACAGAATCAAATATTAATAACAAGATATTACAGCAACATGAATAAAAGCATAAAAACATGAAATATAATGAAAAAGACAGAAGAAACTGCAGAGACATGGAGGTTAATATATTTCTGCTATGACACATTAGCCTCGTATTTATTTTCTTTAATGTTGGACTTTCCATAATGACAAGCACACACACACACACAAACACACAAACAAGCCAAAGAAATTTCCAATCTGAAGAGGACATTATGTAACAAAGCTGCTGAGAGTTTTGACCTAAGTTGTTTTATATTGAGTCAAACCTGATCTGATTTAAAGTGCATCAAATATGAAGTTAGAAACTTGTTTTGGTCCCAACACAACTAAAGTAATAAAGTCACAGAATGGATCAAGCTAAACAGAAAACCCTGAATGAATGAACTCAAAATAGCATATATTGTGTGTGTGTCTTACTTAATATATATAACTTCACTGCTTGATTGCGATAATTCTTCTATAAGATGGGACACCAGCTACATCGTGATTTAGTAGACGTTGACATCATTGGGCCTTCCCAAAACGGTGCAGGTTCTGATCTTCTTGGATGAGCACACATGGGCCACAGAAACCATGAAGATGGATTTACTGGACACGAACCTGAAAGTGTTAAACGCTCAGAGAGCAGGCCTGGTAATGTCATTATGTGCATCACAGCTTTTATCCTTTGATGCAGGAGTGAAATCTTGTAAGAAGACTCACTAACTTAAAGAGATGTTTTTTGTTTTTTTTTTACTTTTCATGTTTTATATCTTCTTCCTCGGTTCAGATAATCTAATATTAGTGAATTTATGGCTGATTAGCTTCTAAATTTCCATCAACAATGTTCTTAATGCTCTTACTCGAGGTAGTAAATCATCGCAGGCAGCGGTGTCTTCAGTGTTTATGACGGGATTCAGTTTACTGACCTCGGCTCTCTTCTGAACAGGCTGCCATGTTTTATAGAGCACAATTCTGTGGTTGCTCTCCCACAGCTGAACACATGCTGGAATGCATCTTTATTTATTTATTTTGCCTTGGTTACTATCTTCTTTCTTGGATAAGCATTTACTGAAAGTAATGTCCTATTTGTTTATCTTTTTGGCTTGCTTCCTGTTTTTTGAACTTCTCATGTTTTTAACTAGTCTTTAAGATCACCAACTTCTAAATTTCATCTGTGGGGGGGGGGGGTCTCGATTCAACACCTGCAGATAACAACATACTGAAGTGTAACCATTTCATGTAAATTTTTACAGCACTAGTGCAAGGTTGAAACAAGTATAGAAGTGTGTGCATATAACTATTTGTCTAAAAATATACCTGAAATTGTTTTGGCATTATAATCTCTAACAAACTTTGAAATAATGAGTTAAGGTTTATATATATATATATATATATATATATAAAGCAAAACATAATGGGATATTTTGGTATATTTTTTTTACAAATATTTGTTCAATCTTCATACCACACCCTTTTTCTAGAACTGCATCTTTGGCGCTGATGTGCTATTGCTTCTAAAAGTTTAAGCAGGAAAAAAATATGTGGGGGAAAAAAAACAAGGTGAAAAGATAAATGGCAAAACTAAAATGCACCTTTATTATTGGGACATTTTTTCACCACTGGTGACCCACATAAATAACACTTAAGTTGTCTTACGTTAAGCCAGTGGGAATTCTCAACCACGTTTACCCTTGACCTAATGACATTTTCCATCTGGGTCAAAGAAAAGCCTTGGAAATGATGTGGCTTTAACTACAGCCATGGTTCCACACAGCTGTTGGAGCGCACTGATCGCATTAAACCAGACATAACACGCTGATTAGCTTTAGAAGTGCTGGTAAGTGGTTTCAGTTACCTGTTGACAGGACCATGAAATTGTTCCCCTTTTATTTTTAGGCTTTGCTCTCGGCTCTGCAAATTGGCTACAACGTGTAGAGCTAACCAAGAAATGAAAGTATCAAACATCATTAGCCTTAGGTCCAAGTGTGTAAAGCATAATTTATTTAAATGATTGCATCCACAAATACACACAGCATCCTTTTTCCTTTCAGCTTTTCACAATCTTTCCCCCAAGTCCTAAACTCTAACGTTATTAGGTGATAAATCACGTCAAAGGAGTTTCCTGGTAAAAAATGCCACGTAAATTCATAACTAACTAAATTCTTTCCTGATGACTTTTTTCCCACTGGTTTATTATGGAAAAATAACTTTTTACAGCAGCTGCGAGTGGAGGCATGGGGTATGCAATGTATGTGAGTGTACAGTTTCTTTTGCTTGTTGCCCACAACAGCTGTCTGGTATTTTGAGGTCAGACATTTAGCCATCATGGAAAAGGGAAAAACCCAAGGGTGTCCTGTGGTCATTGTGTGTCTGGAGGTATTCTGATCCCCAAACCCTGATCCAGTGGGTCATTGAGTAGACTAAACAAGTTTCTTTGCGCTGAAAACCACAAAATCTATTAAATACCTCATCACTCTGTTACATCCTTGGTCTAAATGATGTGATGGAATGGATGTAAGCTAAATAATCTGAGATTTGTTGTCAGCATTTAGCTTTAAATCTTGGGTCTGACATCATTTTTTGTCTCTTTGTGAAAATGTTATCTCTTTTCCATAATATGAATTTCCTACATCTGTTTTTAAGTCTATCTTTTCTGTTATGTACCCAGAATGTATAAAAGGTAGGCTTTAGCTAAACAAACCAGAAAGTTAACGTGGGAGAAGAGCAGGACAACAGGAGTCGGAGAGCAGGAGAGAGACACCAGTTGGAGCTCACTGGGACACAAACAAGACGGTACACGTGTATAAATAATCTACAACGATAGAATTTAAGAGCATGTGTTTTGTTTTTAAAAAGGAACATGTTTCGTGTTGCGCAACAGACGTCCCATCATCAGCTGATTATGAAACAAAACAAGCAGTGAGTGACTCAGCTGACAACATAAGGGGTTGAATCTGCCAGAGGAAACTCTGCAGCTGAGCCAAGCTGCACAGCTCGCTTTACCACAGTCACAGCTATTACAAATTTAAGGTATTATTTCACTGCGTAACAAGCATCCAGACTGGAATCAGACAGAGGGCAGAAGTTGCGTTGGATGTTTTGTGTTTGCCAGAGTAAATGTCTCACTTATGACTTGTGTCTTGCAGCGGTTCAGATGTTCATGGTAAACAGGAACTCTATCTAACAACGCACTGAGGCATTTACAGAGGGGCTACTAGACAATAGGGAAAGTGTGCCAAGACTCAAGAGCCTCATTAGGACTCCAAGTGCCTCAACTCACCTCGAAGAATGCATGACATCATCCAGCTTTTATTTTATTGTTGATTATTTCTGAACTGAAACAGTTTCACCTATAAGACACCTATATTATTACTTCAAACTATTACAGAACAATCAATCTTCACCTCTTGTTAAGAAAAAGCATGCCCAAGCCTGGTCTTGTTCCATTTGTTCTCACAGCTACAAAAGAATCTGTGCATCTCTTTGTGTCCTTGATTCTTCTTTTACAAGCTTTGCCACAAGTCGCTGCTCTTTAAAACGACAGAAAGGAGGAGCGGACAGGAGGAATGCTGATGCCGGCTTCTTGAGAACAAAGAGCCAAGAAGCTGCGTGGAAACACAAGGACACGAGGAGGACAACAAACAAGTGCAGTGAAAAGTAAAATCACTATACGGAGCTCTTACCGTAGGGCCAGGCTGCACCCAAGGGCAAAGAGATAAAAATAAAGAGGGAGAGTGAGAGGAGCCAGCCCTCCTTCCCTGAGATAAAGGTGCTGTTCCATGGGGTTGCACGGGTACCCCCATGGGTTTGCCCCAGCTGTGGTCCCCGTCCCACAGACAGCATGCTGCAGTCTGGACCTCTGTTTACTTTCTGATCTCAGCTGACATTACATTCTCTCTCCCTTTCCATTGCTTCCCTCCCCCTCCTCCCATGTCTCTTTCTTGCTCAGTGTCTTTCAGTTTCTCCCTCTCTCTTGCTGCTCCTTGGATTCAAGTTACAGCCCAGCCTCACAAGGAGTTCCACTCGCAGTGGTCACCCAAAAACTCCCCTCACTCTGCTTGAACAGTGACGTCACTGCTGGTGAATGACAAGCGAGCACCAGTGTGTTATGCTTAACTCATCAGAATCTCTATCACACACAGACTGAGGGGAAGTGTATAACAGCCAGTCCATGTTCCACACTCTACCCGCCACAGTCAGGATCAATTATGTGGAGATAGAGTTTAAGTCTCCTTCAAAACTCATGTGTTCATGACTAAAACATCCTGAGGTCAGTGTTGTTCAAGTTCACACAAGTGCAAACACAGCAGCTGGGTTCAGTCTTACAAAGCAGCTAGAGTTTGACAATAACTTTAAGTTGAGTAATTAATGAGAGATTAGTTGAATAAAACTCTTGACTTGAAAAAAAATCACTCATGTGAGAAAGCTTTTAGAAAAATGGAGCTACAAGAGACTGTTACAGACTGGAAAGTGTGTAAAAACATGAAATGAAAAAAAAAAAACTGCTGCTTATCCCCAATTTTAATTTTACAACATATAAAGTGTTTATATTCACTAAGAGAAAAAATGTTCAAAGGCCACATGAAAAGTATAAGATGTAAAAGAAAAAACAGTAATAAGATCTAAGATCTGAACTAAGAAAAAAACGTTACCTAAAAACACACTGAGCACTAGTTGTATAAAAACAATACACTGAACAACAGCACGAACACGAGTCTGTGTGAGCAGGTGAGTACAAACAAACACAACAGTATGAAACAAATCAGCAGCAACATGAAACAAATCAGCAGCATGATGTGATTTTTCACAGTGATTATTCTGGTTAGAGATTCATGGGTCTAACAGCCTCAAGGTAGAAGCTGTTCCTCAGTCTAGTGGTTCTACACTTAATGCTCCTTAACCTCCTTCCTGAGGGGAGCGGTGCAAAAAGTGTGTGTGCTGGGTGAGTGGGGTCTTTCATGATGCAGGTGGCCTTCGTCCTGCATCTGGAGGTGTAGATGTACGTGATGGTGAGGAGGCTAACTAACAGACTTCTGTGCAGCCTTCACCATGTATACATATATACATATATACATATATACATATATATATATATATTTTTTTTTTTTATATATATATATATATATATATATTTATATATATGTATATGTTTATGTATAGTTCCTTAACAGAGTATTTTAAACAGGTTGTGCCTCCTTTGTCATATTTCAGTTTGACTAGCAGTAAATGCTTTAAAAGTTTTCACATCAGAAATCATTGTTTGCCAGTACAACAAAAACATAAAATCCCTCTACTCAAAACCTTATTTTCTGTTGCAGACAGATTATGGACTGACGTTAAAAAAGAGATGTGTTGTGGCGAAAATCAGTTAATTAAATGCCACAAAGTGTGTTGTTTAAAGTTTTAGTTGAGCTAAAAAGTATGAGAATAACTTGAGGCTCAATGTTTGCACGGTACGCATCATCCTGACTCATGCTTTAACTTTAAACTACATTCACTGAAAACAAAAAACAGTCAAAAATCAAAAGTATATCGTTTTGCTTTTAGTCTTTCAGAAAGAACAAATTCTCATCAGCAATGATATTAATTTCTCTTGATGTGTCTTGACTGGAAACATCTGCTTAAACTTCTCTAATCTTTATTCCCCAGACACCTAAAAATTCTAATTCCCCATGTGTTGCTACATGCACCGTCACTAGTGACAGCATTTCACCATTACAGCCAGAGGAGAAACCCTTATTAGGATCTTTTTTTCTTTATAGCCTCTAAAGGTTATGGCCTCCTTCTCATTAGGTAATTATGTGCTTCAAGTGTTATTAAGTGTGATTTTTGTCCCAAGTTAAATTTGTGGATTGGCTCAAAGACTCTGGACAGATCTCAAATAAAGTACGCCCACTGAAAAAAGAGGTGGAGTAGACTCAAACTCACTCCATCAGCAAAAAACAAAGTCAAAAAAAAAATACTGCAGTTAAAAGAGTCGTGAAGTCAGGACAGAAAAAAGAGCTGCTAAATGAGCTGTTAAACTTGATGTGGTATTTTATCCAAAGTATGTCACAGTATATTAAAGTCCTCAACTGTGTGAGCTTTAAACAGAAAGGAGCACATTGACGTCCTTAAATGAAAAAGACATTATCTCAAAGGTGACTCCTGCATCAGTTAGTGTTATTGGTGCCATGAGAGTGCTGCATGCACCTCCATCAGGACTTCAGAGACATTCACTGCACAGCTCAGCCCATCTGGAGTGGTCTTTATATACATTTAATGCCCTCTTGCCAGTGAATAATTACGTGATTACCTAAACACATGTGAAGTTAATCAGACGAGCTCCGTGCTTGGCTGCTGAACGTTCAAACATACATGATGCAACCTTTTCTTTTTGTTATTCTGCAGTGTCCATCACATTCAAACTGAGCTCATCTTTGAATTAAGAAGAAATGATTTACAGCAGGGATCAAACCTTTTGAGTTCAGGGACCTCTTACAGGGGAGAAAAAGTTTCAGGGACCCCCTCATAACCCTCATGTTTATTAAAAAAATTTCTTCAGTTTGTCTCGTTAATGTAATGGAAATATTTGTGTAATATAAATACTTAAGACCTGTTCTTTAATAGTGTTAATACGTTTTTTTTATACTTTTAAACATAGGGCATTTCATTTCATTCAACGTACACTTAATTAACTATTTTTTTTAATTTCCACTTCCAAAAATTACAGTTTTGAGAAATTTAACAGTATCAAACACCACTTTAAAACTTTACCTATTCACCTAATGAACATAAATGTATTGAAACTTCTTCATATTATTACAGAAAAGTCTTAACATAAAACTGAACAGAATCATAACAGCAGTAGTCAGACCAAGTAACCGGACTTCATTTGTAAATGGATCGATGCCCAAGTGCAAATAGCGCGGGAGTGGGGGGTCCTCCCCCAGAAAATGTTGAATAAAGTAGATGTGATTAGCTGTATTTTTATGTATTTTAATGGGTTGTTAAACATCTATGTGCTTGTAAAAAAAAGTAATAATTATTTTTTATTTATTCAATTATTGTAGAGATTGGGCCGATCCGATCTGGTATCGGCCTCTGATGCCAGCATAATTTACGTATCGGAGATTTCCAATCAAACCTGCAAAGATTTCCAATCCATGATGCATGTCTGTATCTGATGAAGCGTTTCCACATGTGATTCCCTGCTGGCTGCTTTGCAAATTGGCTTCAAACTATAGAATGGATTTCCTGAACGGAGGTGTGTTTCATGAAACACAGAGTAATAATACCCGTCTCACATTCAGGAAATCCATGTCATAGTTTGCAGCCAGCTAAATACATGTGGACTGAGAGCAGCACTGTTGCTAACAGCTAACCAATTTTTCATCATAACATGTCCGCTGTGTGGAAGTATTTAAACACCGCAGGACAGCAACGTGTAATGTCTGCAGAGCCGCTGTACCGAGAGGAGGAAGCTCGGTCGCGACCTACAATACATCAAACTTAATAAACATTTGAAAAAGCACTGCATTAAAGAGCACAAGGATTGTTTAGCCAGGCACCGCGGTAAACGGAACGTTGGACGTTCGAGCTCTGTGGCTTCAGCGGTGTGTTCCTCTTGTTCAGTCTGAAGCAGGCAGTCTGATTTTGGTCAGCCACGCTCAGTCTGCCCATCTCGAGGAGGAGCAGACTGAGCGCGGCTAACTGAAATCAGATTGTTTGCTTCGCAGCTTGATTGAATACTTGCAGCCAAGACATAGTTTAGGTTTACCCTCCAGGAGGTGTTTATCAGTACAGCAGTAGACAATCATAAAAAAACATATGAATTGAAAAATAAAAGAAAATTATATTTAAAAAAAAGAAAAAGAAACAAAAACAGCTACATTATAAAGCGATGTAAAATACTAAAAACAGGAGCATGTCTGTGTTGGTTTTTGCCATGAACTTACCAGATGTTTGAAGCCATTTAATCCATTTAACATCCACTTTAATATCCACTTTGACGTGTTGTTTTTATGCTATTAGTGCTTAGTGTATATTTAGTTGATGTTTTTCTTAGTTCATATCTTATATTGTATTGCTGTTTTTCATTTACATTTTATTGTTGGATGTAACTGGGACCCTGTATGCAAAATCTCATTCCACCACATGTACCACATGTGGTGTGTTTGACAATAAAACTCTCTGACTCTGACACTGACTTTAAAGCTCGAAATAAAAAACATGTTTTGTGTTAGCAGGATTTAATTCTAACTTATACAACATTAATAAAACTTACCTCAAGTTCCTTTTTTGGACATGCATGCATATATTTGTACAAACTGTACTTGCCTATAGAGACGAGATTATTACAACCTCATATGAAAACAATAATGATGATGATATCGGAACAGTATAGATATCGGCCTATTTCCAGATTTAGGTATCGGGATCGGATAGGAAGTAAAAAAAATGTGGATCGGTGCATCCCTAATTTATTGTAAGAGTACCACCGTCTGCATCTCCTCTCTCCAAGATGGCCACTAATTGCCACCAGCTGTCGGCCATCTCCCTGATGAGGTCCTCTACTACTTAAGGCTGCAGCCGAGTGCTACTCTTCGCTGGAGCATTCTACTTCCCTGTGGTATTTATGCCTCCGGCATGTTGCTTGATACACAAAGAGAGTTACTTATCTAGTTTTCTATGTCTACAGTCCTCCTGCCTCCTTCGGATCCCTTCCAGTCCTGGTCTGCCTTGGTTCTGTTCC